AAGCCCTCAAGAATTATTTCTTTTCAATCTTAAGTGCATCTAACACAAGGGCCTGTGTGAAACTCTTCTTCCATCTCACACGACAAAACCATACTGACAGATATGTAACACCAAAACTCTAGCAATTGAAATGTAAAAATTATGGTACTGAACACTTCTTAAAGAATTGAACACAATGTTCTCCAAGATAACCTAAATTGGCAGAGCTATGAAACATAACTCTACAAATCACAACAATGGTTTTGGTGAGAAATGTAAGATAGTTTTTTTACAAACAAGATACCACAATGGCATGGTTAAAAATGGAAAACCTCCAATTCTCCAAATAAACACCACTACGACTTGAAGCAGACCCTTCATTATAATTTATTCTGCTAGCTTCATCTAAAGATAAATAGCTCCAATTAATTAAGTGCTAATAATTTTTCTGTGCTAAATTAAGAAAATGAAAACGAGGGAAAAAATTGTGGGTCAACACTAATAAATGAGAAAAAAAAATAACACAACTTTAACATAGGATAGTTACAATAGAATATACCAAGGTCTAATGCGCATTACATCTGTACCAGGTTGCTTGGATGGTAAACGATTCAAGTGTTCAATAACCGTATGAACATGAGACCAATTCTGGCAAGTTTTTAACATCAATGAGAAACTACATTCATATAGTAGTCAAAATAACGGGAAAATCAATTTGTTACACTAATTTAAAGGAAGATCACTACAGACCTGCATTGATATTACATCTGCATGATCAATAATCAAAACCTGTTTAAAATAAATAATACTGTCAACTACATATTTTATGCCCCACATGCAGGGTAACTACATATTGAGATATACTTGTCACTAATTAAATATGATCTAACAATAACAGTTAGGAAAACTTACCTCTATGGATGAAAGAAAATCTACATCTTTTTCCTTATTAATCCCGGCCTCCTCAATTTTCTAGAAAATTGAACAATCTAATGTTATAAGCAATACATTTATAAAAAATTCATCACACATTCATAAGACTAAGGATTAATAATAAATAAAAAATCTTTAAATTCATATTTTAAAAAAGGAACAAAATACGGAGAAAATGTTAAAAAAAAATAAGCATGTGTGTTTTATACATTAGTAGAAAAGCCACATGATAACAAGCAACACTATTACAATGAAGTTATAATTTTCAAAAAGAAAAAGTTGGGTCTCTATACTTGACATAATTTTTATTTTTATTTTTTAGTTTAAAAAACACTAAAACTTTTCTCTTAGATGAAAAATGTTATGAATCAGACCCTAACAGAAGTTGTTTATTATTTAGGGTCACTTGCCAGAAAAGCAATAAAAATCAATTCGCTGTGTATATAGGAAAATTATGGGGACTGTTCCCTCAAAGGATAATATCATATTCATATACAATGTTTTTACTAAACAACTGATACAAATTGGCCCAATGTTTATCTTATAGAAAAAAGGCAAATAGATACTAACAAACGGTATTAGAATACCTAAAACCTTTTAGTTATACCAGAAGGTATATGAACTTGAAGGTTGGACACAGTGCCCAAAACTGAATAAAGTAAATTCCCAACAAATATAAAGTTAATCTAAAGGGAGCAAAGGAAATCTAATAGGATATAAGGTAATAGATAATGTTAGGGGTTGGAAGGTATACGAGAGAAGAAGAAAGTATATGAGAGAAGAAGAAGGGCACCGAACGGTGGAAGGCAGGAAGAAGTCGAGCCGAACGGTGGAAGGCGGTGAGGGAGAAGAAGAAGGGAACCGAACGGTGGAAGACGGGGAGAGGACGAGCCGAACGGCTGAAGGCGAGGGCTCGAGCCGAACGGTGGAAAGAGGTGAAGAACTGGAGCCGATCGATGAAAAGAGATGAAGAACTGGAGTCGATCGATTGAAGAGTTACTATCCTAACTGTTGTAGCAGTTAGGATGGACGGGAAATAATTATAGTAAATAGAGCTATATCATAGGAAAATATTCGGTATAAGATAATTATAGTAAATAGAGCTATATCATAGGGAAATATTCGGTATAAGATAATTATAGTAAATAGAGCTATGTTCTAGGAAAATATTCGGTATAAGATATTTATAGTAAATAGAGCTATATTCTAGGGAAATATTTAATATAAATAGAACCAGATTCTATTGTTAGGATTATGCTTTTGATTATTGAGTTTGTTAACAGGCGGCTACAGTCCTGTGAGAGAGGTTATGCTCCCAATTATGCTTGTTTAGAGAATTCTATTACCATTAATAAGAGAAATTCATTCTTTCATTATCTTTTCTGTCTATTGTGATCGTGGTTAATTAGGTTTTCTACTCAAAAACCTAACAAAATCTCTAGAGTCAGATATGAATAAAAAAAGCTAAAATAAACGGAAATAAAAATGCTTACATTAACCAAGCATAGTGCTGAAGCAATAATAATGTCTGAGGTATGGAAATCACTGAACAACTTGATTGTCTTCCTGTAGAGAACAAAGCATAAAATTTAAATTAGAACTGAAATATCATCTCACATTATAAGTCACAACAAATACAAACTGAAAAAATCAGCTTCCCATGGGATTGAGGATGCTATAGTAATATCGTGCATATGTATCTAAGCAGCGTACTATACAGCCCTTTTTGTCTGAAATAGTTATTTGAAAGGAACCATCACTACATAAAATTGTCTTATTCTAAGAAATGTAAGAGGGAATAAATAGGGAGTGAGCAAATTGATTTTAGCATGGGCAGTTGAGAGAAAGAGTAGCAGAGATAATGGAAGAATACAGTTCAATAAGTTAAACATTTGGAATAATCTAAAATGTTAGTATAGACATTCTATAATGAATGTTGTCATATACCCACATGTTCACAAAGTCACTGAGTCTCATTGATAGGAATTTGTATTATAGAAATACAAGCTGCCTAGCATTAATTATTTTTAGAGCCCTCACTGGAGGAATACAGTAGAATAAGTTAAAAAATTGGAAGAATCTAAAATGATAGTATAGACACATTAATGATGTCTTATAACAGCATTATGTTATTCATTTATAATCCCAAAATAGGGTACAAGAAAATAAATCCTGGATTTAAAGAATATATGCAATAAATGTCACTATTCAAAATACTTTTCTAACTCTTTTACAAAAGCTGAACTAAACCATATATGCCATGAACAAAAATTGTTACAAATGTAACCAACATGAGAGTCTGAGTGACTTAGTCAACATGTCAAATTGTTCACCAGAGCTAAAGAAGTCATTTTATACGTTCCCTAACGCCTCTCTCTCCTATTGAAAGCATTGATAACTAAACAAATAACAAAGGATCTTTTGTACCATGTTCAAAAGAGAGAAACTGCGAATAAACATAATGAATTTAATGTGCTGAATACACATGATGATTATTCTTATACATAATAATTATTATACATAATAAAGAAGAGATAAAATAATAAGGAACAAAATTAATAGGTAATAATAGAAAATACTTGGTAAGATATGTCCCTAAATCATATCATATCTCCTTATGTTGAGTAACCAAATCACATATCTCCCTCCCCTCAAGTTAGAGCATGTCATATAAGACAAGCTTGTTACAAATTTCGTACACAAGATCCCTCCAGAGATTTTGTGAACACGTCAGTCAATATGTTGCTAGAGCTGACAAAGTGAAAATGACAAAGCCAATAGATATTTCCAAACATGACTTTCTCATTGTCAAAGTGACAATCAATCTTTAATATGTTTTATCCTCTCAAATCAAATCATCGACACTCCACCTCAAGTTGGGATGTATTATGTATCCAGAGAGAGAAAATGGATAGATGACGAGTGGCTGTCTGAAAGCAAAAATTACTCAGAGGACAAGATGGTTGTAGGAAAAGAAAATTAATCAGAGTACATGACAGTTACTGTTGGCAAACAAAAACGCTCAAAGGACACGCTAACTACCAAAAGCAAATATGTTCAAAGGACACGACAGGTATCAGAAAGCAAAAGTGCTCAGATGACTAGGCAGCTGACAGAAAGTAAAAGTCTCAGAGTGTGGCAGGCAGCTCCAAGGGAGCAAAATTGTTCAGAAGACAAGACATGTCAAACAGCAAAACTAGTCCTCGCATAAGCTAGTGGTGGTCACTGGCTGGAAAAAGTTCACCGAAAAAAGAAACTTAATAGAAAAAGCTTGCCAAAAATAAATTCATCAGGAAAATGACGGTGATGGAAGGTAAAATAAAACAAGAAAAAAAAAACACATACACAGTTTCTAAGAAATTCACATCTATGTGCAATGGGCTCAAAGGGAAAGCAGCGCTTTGGGTTTCCATCTCATTAGACTCTTGATAAAATGTTGTAAGGATCAGTGATGAAATAGATCATAAGAGAGAAATACAGAAGGAATATAAACAATTTCATGTGTTGTGTACACTCAAGTATTCTAATTCTAATATATAACAAAGAAAAGATAGAATAATAAAAAACAAAACCAATATCTAATAATGATTTCCCTATCAAATTGTACCATATCTCTCAATTTAATGCAATCAAATCTTCAACATCCCCAATACAAAGTGAGAATCCATCCATGAAAGACTAGATTTGATGTAATATAAAGAGTGTTTAGATTATCAAAGAAAATTTAGTATCTTGAATGTCTCCAAACATTAGTTGTTAGAGAGGTTGTCAAAATCATATGTAGTCTCAGTTTTAGTTATAACCAATACAAAGCTTCAATATTGGATCAAGCAACAATACTCTCCTTCTTGCTTCTCCATTAGATCACATTTCACCAATATGAACAAAATACTTTGTTTGAAATCTCACATCAAATAAAGATAAAGCAAATTTACAATGCAAACCACACCTTACAAGCCAGTTTTGACACTAGAATAACAACAATTAGTGGAAATACTCAATAGTGGATCTCCTATCAAATGGTCATCATACCCAATTGCCACTAGAATAACAAACAATTTTGGCATTGAAATAATCTTAATATAATAGTCTATGTTCAGGTGCACTTCTTATGCACCAAAGAATAAATTCATTAAACAATGCTACACATAAGAGTATAATTACCTTGTGAATTTGATGCCAATCATGAAGTCATCCTCATTATTTCCACCAAAAAGCATTTGAAAGTCAGATGCTTTGGAAGACTTATGAGCTTTTGAATTTTCGGACTCGTCAACATTTTCTATATCACCTGTATCTTCTTCACTTCCAAATTTAGTGGTAAATCGATCCTTATGTTCAACATTGACCTGAAAAAATAAAAACAATTACCATAGAGAACCAAAGGAATTATTTATTTTGCTCCAGGAAAATACAACAGTAAGAGAGATAATATTAATAAGTAAGAATCAAACAAAATTTTGGTTTAAAGTTACATGTATATGCAATATTTTGGCCTATAAAGTAATAATGAAGGTTCGATGCACACATCCCTCACGTTAGAATTTTACTACCCATGAAATTTGAAATGCATTAAAATCAATAGTATGAATTGGTTATATCCATTATACAAACATTTGTTGACCTTCTCACATTATGAACTACTCACTAAATAAATCCTATCTTCAATTTCTTACTTTCAAGCAGGGATTTTCTTTTGCACTGGTCTTGACTCTATCAAATGGTGTCTTCTTCCATGTTTTTCATTTCCTTTGTTAATTGTTCTTGTGTTGGCTGTGAGACACTAAACACCAAAAATGGGTTTCATATACCCATTCGGGATATTTATACATGAGTTTCAATCATTCATGGTTCCTCTTGTATTTCCTTTGATATGCACCGATTATAATCTTGTTCGTATTCACTTTTATTGTTCAATCTAAATTGTTGAATTGTTCTATATGTTCCATTGAATTGCCAAGACCAAAAGAGACAAGTTCTCTAAATTCTAAACTCCTTTCATTAATCTACGCGAAATTCACTGAATATTATGCTTCATCTAAAAAGTAAACTTAAACTTAACTCAACCTTACAAAATCAGCTTGTAATGTGGTACGGTTTTCACTCACTTATATATAATAATTTGGTCACATCTATAGTCAATCCAAAATCTCCAACACATCCCGACATGCCAAGGACTATACATCTCAAACTTGGGAATAGATATTTATGAGTGATTCAATAGCAGATAACGGATAGCACAAAAAGCCCAACAACCCTTTGATACGATAAACTCTTATTCCATCTTAGAAGTAGACTTTAAGTCTACCTCAACTTCACAGAACCAGTTTGTAAAGTAATAAGGTTTGCACCCACTTATGTACTATAATTTGACCACATCTTTAGTGGATATGGGATCTCCAACATTTTCTATCATTTCTATGTTTTACTTTGTTCATGAGTTTTTGCTAGATCATTATAACACAATGCATGGAGAGATATCTAATTTTCTATAGTTGAAAATCAATTGTATTCATAGTTTGACAGATCATATACTTCCTAATACATACCTAGCTTATATCAAGTAAAGACAGCTAAATTTTATGCCATGAGTGTCATTTCAATTAACTCATTAATAAACATGTTATGCAAATAAGGATCAATTCAAATGCTTGGCATGACAATACTTTAAAAAATATATTAGAAAGTGAGAACACCAACATACCTTGTAAGCTGAAGGCGTAAGATGTATAAGCCTCTTTACAACACGGTACATAATACTTGCTAGTGGCAATAATATTAAAACCTAGAGAAACAATAAAAGTATACATAAAATATGCTTAGCAATTATTAAGTAAGAGCTTACTTTTAACTTAAAGTTCATTAAAAGAAATACTAAGTTTATCAAGAACTACCACAAGAAACAGAAAGCATATATACATGAGATATGCTTAGCATTTCTTAATATAGAAGCATACTTTAAACTTTAAGTTCATTTCAGAGGAATACTAAGTTAATCAATTAAACAAGAACAAAGAATAGGGGAAAGGGGGAGCATTATCAAATCCACTATGAAATATGAATTTCAAGTAAACAAAATCCATTAAATATAGGGTTAAATAAGTTTTTGATACCTCCAAAATTGACCCACCTTTAAATTTGTACCTCTAAAATATTTTCAATATTGTTTATACCAAAATTTTAATAAACATGCAAATTTGGTCCTGGTAAGATATTGCTAGGTATGCTAGCATGTGGCACTGTCAAAATAAAATGTCAGTATCATTAATTCAAAAGTAACAAAATAACTATTATGACCAAATTCACATACCTATTAAATGTTTGGGTATCAAAATTCACTGGGAAAGAATTGGAAGCATCAATATTAATACAAACCAATTTTGAAGGCACCAAAAACTTATTTAACCCTTAAAAATGTTAAGAAATAAACTGTTTGTTTTCTACTTGACATATATTTCATATGACAAAGTAAAGAGTACTACAAAAAATAGATTGCAGAATACTGGGTAATGCTATTAAAGTAAAAAAAGAAAAATATGCGTCATAATAAAACAATTAGGAACCTTTACCTTAGGTCGGGTAAAACCTTGATCTCGAAATTTATCACTTTCAGTATACTCTTTAAGCTTGGTCAGTTTGGCATCATTTTTTTTCACAGAGTCTCTAGTTCTGAAGACATGATTGAGCTGTGTATAAAAATCACTATATCAAAGTCATTCAAAAAGTCCATAACTTCATATAGAATGATACAGAAATATACGTACAGAATGCATTATGTAAGCATCCATAATACTTGCATCTTCAAGGCCTTTGAGATAGAAAGGCCTCTTATTACAGTAAAGTATATCCCGATAACTGCTGCCTGAAACCAAATGCCCAATAGAAAATAGAAGAAATAGTAAATTTTCTGAATACACGGAATTTACACACTGGGAAAGACAGTGCAAAGATTTAGGCAATTAATGATTATGATTGCAAATGCACAACATATTATAATTGATAATTATCATTCACAATCAACTTACAAAGGGAGAAAAATATGCTTTGTTTAGGTGAACTCATATCTTTGCCCCCAGATGTCTTATAGACATCCATCCAATGTTCAGACAACTTTTCCTTGAGACCGTGACAAGAATTGATATCCAAATCCTAAACAAGAAAGCAAGAGATAACAATGTATTATGTACTTCAAGGCATACAGCCAAATGAAGGGTGAGAATATCTATATTTAGTCAAAGTGAGATTACAAACTTGTGTGCATGTGAGTGCATTTTACGTAATACAAAATTACAATAAAGCTATGGACTGGCAAATGGCAATGAAAATGTGCTAAATTTTGCATTATCAGAGGTTGGAAGACATGAAATCTACGATAAACCCAAAGAATATTTTAACTTGAAATACCTCCATAATGTTCTTTCCAGTTCCTATCCACTTGCAATTTTTCATACCAATCGCTGGAGTCTCCCAGCTAAATTTCACGTTACTTTTGCAGTCAATTTCTTCTTTCGATAAACTATGTTGCAAATGTAAATCGAAAAAGCTGCATGGAACAAAAATGTCAAATGAAAGGATGGTTTAGCTAGAATAAAAATAAAATAAAAAAATACAACAGATGTAGAACGATTCAGTGACACAAAATTAATGCCAAGTAACAAGTCAGTAATAACCAGGTTCATTTCGAAAAATTCACAACATTGAACACAGGTCAAAATTATAAACCACATTTAAAATAATATTTAACATGGAAGCCAACTATAAAAAAATTCAAAAAAATAAACATAGATTAAAGAGTTTTCACACATCTAATGGCCACCTATGAGCCCTTTCCTCCATATATACTCACATTTTCAGAGGATACCTAGCCCTTACCCACTCTCTAGTTTCAGTTTTTTCTGTCTTCTCCCTAATGAAATTTATTCTTCTATTCCAAAGAGAGAAAAAATAAAAGATAAGTAGCATTAAAAAACCTCAAATGCGTTGAATCTTCATAAGCTGTTTGACCATTAATTCCAATATCCTCTTCATCGGAATGAAACTCAACATCTTCGATTTCAGAACCTTCTGTTAATCCAGAATCATTTTCATCAGGATCTTGACTCAAATTTTCCACAACTTTGCTTTTAGTAGACTCATTGTCAAACCCTTATAAAACAAATAGTAACAATGCATCAATTAGATAATCATCTCATGTCAAAATCAAATAATCAGTTAAAGAGTGGCAAAGCATGAAATCAGAAACAAACAACTACATTTATATAACAGTGCCTTGACAAAAGGATTTTGTTTTGTAAAGCCTTGCACACATATCAAAGCTTCTTGCCTTCCACATAAATATGTAATACTTTCATTTGGATGTACAAAAATTTGATTAAAAAGATAAGAAAGCATATTAATTGTTAAAACACAGGTAGTGGGAATAACATTTTCCCAGTGATATACAAAACATTTGTTTTCCAAATTGAAGAGTGTACAGTTCAATGAAGTGTATTTGTCCTCCCTGCAATGTCATTTTGCTATAGTGCGTGGAGACAAGAAGATGTAATAGAAAAATGTTCTTTAGCATTGTCACTTAAGAAGATTTCAATTATTTTTCCAAATTGTTCTTAATCTCACTAAAGAAAGACATGAGTATGGATAAAAGCTCATATTTGCCTTTCAATAAATAAATCCAAGTATAACAAGAAAATTCATAAATGTTACAATATATCTAAAACCAAAATATGTGACATGGCTAGGTTCCCAAATATCCGAATGAAAGGTAGAGAAATTTGAGTCACATCACTCTTCAGTTTGTTTTGGAAATGATGACCAAACATGATTTCCTCATTGGCATGATTCACATTCTAACACTTGAAGTTAATTAAGACAGGGAGTTTTTTTGTCTTCGACTTGGCTAGTCTTAGGCCACCTAAATGACCATGCAAAAGTTTTGGAGTTGAGATAGCAAAAAAAATGACACAAGGGACAGTGCATCGTGAAGCTTTAGGTTATGTGACAGCTAGGGTTGGGTTGCGCTCCTCTAGTCACACCTAATTCTTACTTCACCTAAAGAAATGGCAATGGCATCACTAGGTGGCAGCCAGACAACGTGGCTGTGGTGGTCCAGCAGCACGCTCTGCTACCAACTTCAATTGGGAGATGATAAAAAGTCACTAAGTCTCTCGCTCAGCTGATGTGTATTTTATATATATGAAAAGAGAAGAGTAGAATACAAGGACAAGTTATATCCTACAACACCCAACCCGTAGGCTAGTTACACAACACAATAACAATCACAATTTTAATCATATAATCACAATATGTTTAATCTAACCTTCTCCTTCATTATGGTCATCCTCTAGCATGTTATAAGGTTCACGGATGTCTACAACCTTGCTTTTTTCCTTGTTACCTCTTTTCTTTTTTTTCTTGCCTTTACCTTCTTCCCTTTTCCTGAAAAAATGGCCAGAGAGCAAAGCAAATTTCTAATTTTTAGCAAATCAAGACAAAACAAAACAATTTTCAATACCAGCCCAATATAACATTCAATCATTTAATTAAAGGAGTATATAATAAGGGACCAGTGTAACTCAAAGTTGACAAACATTCTTAAGAGCATGAATTTAATTTGTTAGCTAAATTGCAATTATGGTCTCTGTTTAATTACCGATTTGCAACTTCTGATTTTTGTGTACCATTTCAGTCCCTAGTTTTGAAAACTCCGTAATTTTGAACTAATATTTAACTCTGAATAGGTTTATTTCTTTCATATTTTACATTTTAACTAATTTAGTTATTTTCTAATGGCATCTTAAATATATATATATATATATATATATATATATATATATATATATATATATATATATATATATATATATATATATATATATATATATGTTTAGTCTTAAGTTCAATAGAACAAAAATAAAACAAATAAATAAATAATTGAAAATTAGACAAAAAATTGCAGATTTTCTAAATTGAGAAACTAAAGTTGCTGAAAAAAAGTAGAGAGACCAAAATATCGGATAAAAATTAAAAGGAGGCCAGGATTTCAACATTGCATATTTTCATGAACAAGAAATTTTTAATTTGATTTTCCCTGTTAGGTACTTGGGCAATGCAATGAATGTAAACAAGAGGTCTATTTCACCACGAACATACAATTAAGAGAGTTTTCACATGACATGTCACTATTGGAAAAAGATTATTTCAAGGAATTCCAATGTCAGAACAAACAAGCTCAAATAACAAAGAGACCATACAATTAAGAGAGCTTTCACATGATAAGTCACTATTGGAAAAGGATTATTTCAAGGAATTCCAATATCAGAACTGACAAGCTCAAACAACAAAGAGACCGAGTGAGATGAAAACCTACCTAAACTAGAACAAACAAGCCATAGTATTACCTTTTCAATTTAGAAGCCAGTCCTGGCGGCTTCATACTGTTCAGCGTCTTCATACTGTTCAGGATTTTCGATTGAATGATTTATCTGCATTGAGTTAGTGTCAGTGAGCAAAATAAAATAAGTACAAAATTTTATAGTAGACAATAGAGATATAACATCAGAGCAAAAATCACTTTCGTATAGAAATTGGAACACCATGGCATTGAAAGTGAACAAGACTAGAGAGATTATTTTGAAGGTGAAATGAAACTTATGTGCATGGTTATCAAACTAGCGGATTAATTGGTACAATTGGAAGAAAAATCGTTTTTTGGTGTAAACTCGGTCACTCACGAGTTTGGTGGCGAGTTGGCGAGTTCGAAGGAGAAAAATGTTAAACCCTAAAACAACAGCACCATAGTTCTTTGGTGTGAGAAACGAAAACTCACCTAATGTAGGTTTCACTTCTGCATCCGCTTTTGTGTTCCTTCTTGACTTAATCACTGTGCGACCGCTTCTCCCTGCTGTGCTGCTGTTCACACGCGTCTCCTTCTTATGCTGCAGCCTTTAGGAGAGAAAGGAAAGTGTCGCTTTGCACTGTGTAGAAGGAAGAAAATTTGGTGTAGTGTTGTGCTGCAGCCTTTTTGGAGAGGAAGGTAATACAAGTTATTACTTAAAACAAATGTGTGCCTGTAAATATAAAGAAGAAGTCACTAGTCACGGCGGCCAGCTATCCGACGAACGGCAAAGGAGTCACAGTTAGGGTTCTGCGACGGCCGAAGCCACCTTTGCAATCTTTGAACTTTGAAAATCAGGCTCCCCAATTCACTGCTTAAGGTTATGTTTGGATGGTGAAAGTTTGAGCGCAAAAGAGAACTTTGCCTAACAAACAAAATGTATATAAACAAGACTTGATTTACCCTAAAATAATTTTAGGTTGTTATGTCTATAACTAATATTTGTACCTGTGCAGTATTTTTTTATTTATATATAATGTTTGATGATAAAAGTAAATTTTATATTAATTTTCTATGTTATATTTTAAATTAGAATAATAATAATAATAATTTAAGTAATAGTAAAATATCAGAATATTGTGTATATACTAATTTAAATTATTATTTATAATGATTAGATATAATATAATATGTTTTTAAAATAGATTAAATAAATAAATAAATTTATGTAAAAAGAGTCATCATATATTATCTATAATAAATAATTAATTTTTCTAATAAATGATTTAATTTTTCAAATCAATTTAATGGTAAAAAATAAAATATAAAATAATGTATACAAATTAATGTAATAATTGATAATTTTAAACATATTTATTTGAATTGTATAACCGAGACCTAAATGGATAATTTATAAATATTTATAAAGTTTATGAATTTATATTTTATTCAATAAACAATTGTGGATTTAGATTTAATAAAGGATAAATAATAAATAAATAAATAAATATGTTATAAATACAACAACAATTATATTGAAAATGTGTTACCATGTGTTATATATTCTTGTTTTTTTTTTAATATTTATATGCATGTAATACAAGGAATTTCTTTTAAAATAAAATATATTTATAATATAAATTTAAGTTTATGAAATATTTTTGGATATAATGTTCAATTGTGTTTCAATAACTCTTTCTATATAGTAAATAGGATAACATGGAATAAAAATATTAGATTTTGTGTAAAAATATTATGGAATGAAATTGTTTGTGACAATGATTTAGAATTGATTTAAATATTTTTTTTAAAAGTAATTGATATATATATATATATATATATATATATATATATATATATATATATATTGATAGCAGAAAAATCATTTTAATTGTTTAACACGTAGTAAAAATCACTCGTATTTATATATTTGTTATGAATTAATTTTTATTTATTTATTTATATTTATATTGTTTATTATTATTTATAGGGTTAAATATGTTTTTAGTTCATAAAGTTTTGTTTTTAGTTCCTCTTTTTTTAAATTAAGATACATTTTAGTCTTTCTCCTTAAAGAAACCATAATTTTTCGTACTCTAAAACCAACAATGTTAAAAAGGAGCTGAGTTGGCTAACGGTGGAGTGTCACGTCAATTTATTTTTCTGACACAGTCAATCTTTCCAACTTAACGATATCTCCGACGAGGCGCGCGACGCGAGATCATGGCGGTCCTCGGCGCAAGCGGTTCTGGAAAGTCAACACTGATCGACGCGCTGGCGAACCGAATCACCAAGGGAAGTCTAAAAGGCACGGTGGCGCTGAATGACGAAACGTTGGAATCGCGTCTTCTGAAGGTGATTTTTGCGTATGTGATGCAAGACGACCTGCTCTTCCCTGTGCTCACCGTGGAAGAGACTTTGATGTTCGCAGCGGAATTCAGACTTCCGCGCACGCTCTCCAAGTCGAAGAAAAACGGTCGTGTCCAAGTTCTCATCGAGCAGCCAGGTCTTCGGAACGCTGCGAAAATAGTCATCGGCGACGAAGGTCACCGCAGATAATCAGGTGGAGAGCGTCAGAGAGTTTCCATCGGCATCGACATTATCCACAACCCGATCCTGTTGTTCCTGGACGAGCCAACCTCGGGACTTGACTCCATAAGCACGTTCTTTGTGGTGAAGGTTTTGTAGAGAATCGCACAGGGCGGAAGCATCGTGATCATGTCCATTCACCAATCGAGTTACCAAATCCTAGGGCTGCTAGACCACATGATCATCATGCTCATGTCCATTCACCGTCGTAGTTCCCAAAGGTCTGTTTTTTATTTTGATTTTGTTTGTTTATCTAAAATTGAATTTGTGGGGTTTCTTTCAATCAGACTCGTGATCCAATTCCACAGTTTGTCCCTTAAGTTTTGGTTAATTTTCATTGGGTTTCTTTTTCTATTTGTGAATGGATGCAAAGTTGGTTCTTTTATTCCCATATATATAAGTTGTGCCATTAGAGGCAATAAATCTTGCATTTTCAACTTATAAATCAGATCTCTGAACGAATGATTGGACCCCACTTGCATCGTCATCACCATATCTTTCCCGCCTATAAAAAAACAACCTTATTTGTATCAATAGAAGTGTTTCAGGAAGCAACAATGGAAGCAATGGCCAAAATGGGGCAACACGGTAGTTAATGCTAGAGGACACAAACATGGAAAGCGACAATGGACTCTCCAGAAATAGTGGCAGTAGCAATGGTAGTGGAAGTAGAACTGTCAACGTTGGCGTGGTGGAGGAGGTTCGTGTTGGTGAAGATGACAAGGTGAAAAAAGAGTTGACGAGGGCGGTGGACGTGGACGAAGATGCAAGGAAGGAGATAGCGCCAGTGACGAAGGGAGAAAAAAAAATTACCTGACACTCCATTGTTAGTCAACTCAGCTTCTTTTTAACGCTGTTGGTTTAGGAGGACGGAAAATTATGGTTTTCTTAAAGAGAATGACTAAAATGTAGCTTACTTTGAAATAGGGACTAAAATACAAATTCGCTTGATAGTTTAGGGACTAAAAACATATTTAACCTTTATTTATATTTGTTATTGCTTATTATCACTTATTGTTTGTTATTTATTATTAATTTATTACAATATAATATAATGTAATATATATATATATATATATTTATTTATTGTAAAGTCCATTAAAAATAATAATAATAATAATAATAATAAATTAAATATATATATATATATATATAAATTTATATATATATATATATATAAATAATATGATTGCAAAATGACAAAGAACCTTTCAGAAGTGGAATGGTGAGCAAGACACTTTTGGTGGTGAAGTCAAAATATTATTTTTTATAAAATAGTATTTTTAATAAAATATTAAAAAATAATAAATAAATAAATAAAAAGACAAAACTACTTTAAGGAGTGGAGCTAAGGGGGAACAACTTTTTGTAATGGGATTTAAATATTATTCATAATAAAATATTATTTAAAAAAAAAAACCTAAATAGTGCCAAATCTTAGCCTATAAATAGCAAGCATGAGGAAGGCTGAAACTTGCACCCAAAATTGAGAAAAATTTTGAGAGAAGAGAGTTGGAGGAAATTCTAGTTACAAAGGGGAAATTCTTCTAAGCAGGAGATTAAGTCTGGAATAAAGGTAATGGGAGCTAACCTTGAGTATTTCGTTTTGTATTATCTTGAGTCTTGAATATGCAATATTTTGCTTTTGTCTGATCTTAAATCTTGAATATGGAGTATTTTGTTTCTGTATGATCTTGAATTTCGAATAAGAACATGCTTATGTGCCGAGATTCAAGTTTGATAGTTGTAAAACGTGATACTGATTCTGCTATACTAATTGTACGTTATTATTACTCAGAACATTTAATTGTTTCTTTTGCATTTTTAGAAGGATGAGAAGTTGTCTAATCGGCTCTGCCAGATTCAACTTCTTGTATTCCCCATACCTTTTATTGTTTTTCTTATTTATTTATATTGTATTTTTGAAAGGATGAGAAGTTGTCTAACCGGCTCTGCCAGATTCAACTTCTTGTTTCCCCAGAACTTTTATTGTTTTATCTATTTTCATTGTATCTTTTTGGAAGGACGAGAAGTTGTCTAACCGGCTCTGCCAGATTCAACTTGTTGTTCCCTATAACTTTTACTGTTCTATTTAATTTTATTGCATCTTCCTGGAAGGATGAGAAGTTATCTAACCGGCTCTGTCAGATTCAGCTTCTTATTTCCCCAAGAATTTTTATATATTAAGATTATTTTAATGATTGTCAAACACTTGATTCTTCTTCGGTGACCATTCATAGTAATATTTTATTATTGTTAATTTGTTTGTAATATATTTATCTTGTATGATTTCTGTGATGAATGTATTTTATGATGTTGATATGAAATTATGCATCTGAACATGATATGAGTATTATGGGGAGATTTTGTAATGGTATAATATGAGTTGAGGAATATGAGCATGATATGAGTCTCATGGAGAGATTCTGTAATGATATGGTATTAGTGTATATGTTGATGTTGAGGGTCCTGTTGTAGGAGGTTATCTTGACACTCTAATAATCATCCAATCTCAAGTAGAGAAGGCTGAATTATGTGGTGAGAGGGACAGGAGGTCCTGGCCTATGTGCCGGTTTTGGACATAGTGTTGAGGACTAACCTTGTGGATGATATAAAATATTTTGGAAGTGTATTTGTAAGAATAAGTAGAAGTCATCACAAGTGCATAACCTCCCGTGACTGCTCATCAACGTATCATCCGGATGAGTGTCTATTGGGTGTTGTGGGATGAGTGTCTATTGAATATTGTGGGATAAGTGTCTATTAGAGATTGTGGTATGATGGGATGAGTGTCTATGGTGCGATTGTTGTATGATATTATGTGGGTGTATGACATAATTATTATATGATGTTTGTTAAGTGTATCAATGTAATTATGCATGTTTTACAAATGATTTGTGTAATGTTAGCTCACCCCTACTTGTTTGTATTTGTGTTTGTGCGATGATCGTATAATTCGTTATACGGGAGCAGATGAAGGAATATCGTTCGATTCAGTGCCAATGAAGAAAGAGATAGAAGAATAAATTAGAAGAGTTCGAGTTGTATTTATGAGTTTTTAGTTGAAATCTAAGTTTAACACATAGGTATCTTGTATGAAGTCCTTTATATTCATTATGAGTGGTGGTGTAATGCTACAATATATTAACTCTGAATTATTTAGAGTGAAGTATATATATTACCGTGTGACCGAACGTATAAAATGTTACAATATTTATAAAATCTATTAAATGTCGAATATTTATAAAATCTATTAAATGTCGAATGTGAAATTATGGGATGTTAGATATATAGTCAAACTTATCTTTTGTGAAATAAAGTTTAAAATA